TCGCCAGTGGGATTTGAACCCTAGACCTGCCATTTGGGGGGTGACAACTTGCCAACTGCACTATGTCACCACACCCTTTATATAATTATTTATAATTATATAACCAATTTAGTAAAATTTATTAAAATATAGTTACACCCCCCTAAGTGCACACTCCCTAAGTGCACACCCTCTCTATATGCACACCATAGCCCGGCCCCAAGCTTGGGACTTAAGTGGCTTCTATATTCTGCACGTGCAACAAATTTCAGAGCTCGAAGCATATATATGCGTCTCTATAAATGCACGCATGTGAATAATCTTAAAACGGATCAATAAAAAAGAGTTTTTTATATAGAAAGGTTAGTTGTCATCATGCCATCATTAAATAGCAATTTTTTGTGCCCAGTTATCCAGTTTAGTGTGACTAGTTAATTGAAACGACTTTATAATTGAAACGACATTTTTGTTATTTTTAAGTATACTTGTGGTTTCGACTTAATTTTGTTTGTCTTTATTTTTTTTTTATTAAGAGATAGGTGTCATGTGTCATTTGCTCTTACTAAAAATTATTTCGCACAGGATGTAAGACGACTTCATAAAAATAAAATTTTATTTAGTACGAGATATGAAGTCATTTTGTAATTATACTGTACGCACGTACATACGTATAGCATATACCCGATACAGTATTCAAATTTTTATTTACCATATTGATATTACAAGTGTAAAAAAAAAAATGAAATTTATAAATTTAGAATTTTTTTTTTTTTTATAACAAGCGAAAAAAAAAAATTCTAGAACATTATATGAAACATTTAATATGATCTGTTTAATTGTCCTCCACAAAAAATTGATCAATCCTGCTTTGTTGCATTTGGCCAACCTTTGTCTTTTTGATAAATTTTTCAATCCTTCTTACAAGATTAACATATTCTTCTGTACAATCCTGCTGAAGCAAAAATGTACGCATGGTTTCCAAACTTGCAATTGCTGTGTTGGTACTAACAATGGGGGCTTCAAAGCTATCGTCTTCATCTTCCAAATCAATATTTGTTGGTTTGTTTGTTCTGAATGTTTCAACAAGCTCTGTAATAACTTGATCATTAGAGGGAACTTCATAAACGATATTTTCTTCAGGGATTGCCAAATACTCTTCAACTTGCATAGGATCGAGAAGGTCAAGAGCGTTAAGTGCATCGGCAATATTGTTGAGAACAGGGTTAGTGGTTTGGTGAAAATCCTCTAAAGAACTTCGTAAATTAGAGTTGGTATCTGCAGAAAGAATCTTTGTTTGATACCAACAATTGCGAATTGTGTTGGCTTTAACTTCGTCCCACCCTTGAATGATAAAATGGATAGCTTGTAACACATTCATTTTTAAATCTTCTGCATGCTGTCCATTTTCAACTTCTTGTAACATCCAACTTAAAAAAAAAGCTAATTAGTATAATATTCAGATTTTTTTTTTTTTTTTTTTACTGAAAAATTACCGAACATGAAGACGACGATAATTCCTCTTGAAACTCATAATGATACCGGCGTCCATGAGCTGAATCCTTGAGGTTGTGTTTGGGGCAAAATAAAACCTCAGTAAATCGGAGAATAACACTGCCAATATCATGGCTAGGGCAGTTATCAAGGCGCAAAAGCACACGTTGGCCCTGATACTTCAAACCGACTTGGCAATCAAATTCAAGAATCCACTCATGAAAAAGAGATATGATCATCCAGGCTTTAGCACTGTTTCTGTATTTCATAGGCAAATTACTAATTCTGATGTTTTTAAAGCAACGCAGTTTTTTGTACTTTCCAATTACAAGAGGATCTATCTTGTGAGAGCCATCTGCGTTTGCACACAACGCAATCGAGAGACGTTCCTTGTTTTTTTACGTTCAGAAAAACGTTGGGTTGCCAATATATGATCAGGTTCCAACCTGAAGGTAAATTTTTTAGTATTGCATTGAAAAAAAAAAAAAAAAGTAGAAACAGAATTTAAACGGATAAGAAAATTTTATTTAAATTTAATAATAGGGAAGTTGGGTTAGGGTTAATATTAAAGTTCATATCAAGATTGAGTAGAATATAAAATTTCCATTTCTATTTGTGCTGCCAAGAGAAAAATATAATTGAAAGCCCGATGACAGGTTTTTTCTTGGCAACACTCATTTAGACATATAATTTATACTAATAAGAGACTTATACCGATAGAAAAGCCTGGTCTCGTCTATATTGTAGATTCTTTCAGGAGGGTAACTTGCACATTTATTTTTTATTAACAGCATGACATTGTTAATTGCCACCATGTCAGCGGATGCGGCTTCTCCTTGAAGCTGTCGTAGACGAATACCATTTTGATTCTTGAATTTATAAAGCCAGCCAGGAGAAAAATTTAGTGTCCCTTGAGAGATTCTCAAACCATCAGCAAGTACCTTTGCTTTTTCGACGAGTAAAGCATCAGTTAAAACTGTTCGATGCTGATAAATCAGCATGAACTCTTTAAGGGCGAGATCAAGTTCTGGATAGGTAACAGCTCTGTGACGCTTTGTTTTAGAATTACTGATTCCATTATCAAGTCGTTCCTCAGATATCTTCAAGATACGTGAAATTGTACTTTCATCGACTCTAAGACTCCACTTGTTTTCAATCCAATCAATATATTGTGATCGATTTTTTTTATTAACACGAGCGAAGGCACAAAGTTCACTTTTTTGTTCTTCAGTAAGGGTTATTCTCTTGGGCATTTTTTGAATGAAAAAAAAGTTGATTAAGCATAGGATAAGTTATTTAAGGTTTTTTAATTTTAATTTATAAATTTAAGGAATGGCAACTTCTAATTTTTTTTTTTTTTTTTTTTGGTTTTAACAGGTGTCGTTTTTACAAATAAGGCACAGGCGTTTTAGTTAGTTTGATACAATATTAATTTGATCTACGGACAAGAAAAATTTAAATCAATTAAATCAGGTAAGTTCCAAAAAGGACGTTGGATTTATTAGGCTACACTTCATAATTATAGAATTTTTAGAGACAAACTTTTTTATTTTGTAATGGTTGTTATAAGGAGTTGATAATAAACAAGGTTCTCATTTTACGAGATGTTTGTAAACAATAAAATACAGGTATGTTTTTTGAAACTTGATACGAGGCTTTAATTCAAGTCTAGACTCAAACCCAGAACTGAACTAGAATTAAAATAGAATGGGATATGATTTTGTTTTTAAAATTTTGTATTGATGTAATCGATACCTATAATGATAAGTAATGGTATGAATTAGATAAGTTAGTGAAAGGTAATTTTAATATTTTGAATCAATACTTGTAAGTAGCGTATTAATTGGCCAAATTTGACATGAAATGAATTTCACCGGATTAGTAAATGATTCTTTATTACGTATAAAAAAAAATTCTCACAGTTAATTCTCATTAAGCTACGATTAAATATTTAAGTTGTCAGTCATGTGTTTGACTTCACTTTCATTGATTATTTACCCGAATAGTCGCACAGGGTATAATTTCTAATTTTGGCCTAAATTAAGCTTAATTCGGGCTGAAACTCGAAATAACGCTTCTGTATGTTATTTCACAACTACAATTCTGTAAGTGCACACCCTCTCTAAGTGCACACCCATGCCTGGTCCCCAGGGCGTGCACTTAAGGGGGTGTGACTATATTATAATTTTATTAAAAAAATAAATTTAAGATTATTACTTAATATAATTTATAAATATAAATAATTATATACCATTCTAATGTATTTTTATGTGCTGAACAAGTTTACTTAAAGCATTAAGATACTATATATTAATAAAATTTTGAGTTATAATAACTTTTCTATAATTTTACTAGTAAAATAAGTAAAAATACT